GGGGATTTCTTTGATGAATCCAAAATTTGAGTATTTTTCTATGTTATGTTCATGTTTATGTTCATAAACTTTTTATTTAAGAAAATATGTTTTCATAGTTTGTGTTGTCCCTTATTATCAATGCAAAATGGTCACTAACTAAAGAGGATTTATGCTGATATTGCCCAAAAACCCTATTTTGTTCAGGCGTTTCCAAACTATTGGAGGGCAGTGTAGGTGTACAAATGTTTCCAAAAATATCTTCTAGGATGTTTGTTTTTCTTAAAAGATTAGTCATTTTTTGGTTATCTGCTACATCTGATGCAGCACATCAAGTGCCACATGGCTTAACATTTAAAGAAATCAAAGGGACAAGCTATCTCATACTAAGTTCCTTTATTTGTTTGTTTAATTCTTGCTAATCTCCTGACCAATGATTTGTTGTTAAGGCCATTAAAAGCTTAATATTTTGCCATTTTGGGCTTGGCCCATTTTCAAGCTTGCTGGTTGAGTCATAGCATATCAGGGATCAGTGAACAGTCGCTAATAGACTAAGCCGATCCAGAACTTTGATCCAGTCTTTGCTCACCTCAGATTCTCTGCAAACCTAAACTTTGATCCACACAAAACCACAGATGCTGCTCTGCTACAAATGCTGGTTAGTTTTAGTGGTAGCTTAGTCTGATCTGTGCCCTGCTGGAGTAATGGGCAACCTCTGCAGGATTAACAGTACTGTTCATGTTGACAGAGAGGACAGAGGCACCTGAGATTGACCACTATGTCAAAGATGAGTCACTAGGATGCTGTGTTGTCCCTACGCCAGTTCTCACACACACACACACACACACATACACACACGTGTGCTAACAAGCAAACACGAAGCCAGACACTTCTTCCTCTGGTTGCTTGGTTACATACCGTGTTTGAGAGTGATAGCCCTGCTGTGTTATTGCTGTTTTTCTTCATTAGGCAATAAAAACAGATTATGCTAATGACTCTGTAAAAGAGTGTCATTATCAGCCAGCTTACTTAATAGCACTTTCCACAATGACACTGCAGGCTACCTGTAGCCAAGGATAAAGAGCAACACAAACATATGCCACAGGAAACACTTTCAGTAGTTTTACCAAGAGAATAGAAACAAAGATGGAGGGAAAAAAAACATTCAATAACATGAGCTGATCCAGTTTGGGGTTTTATTTTATTTTCCACCAACTGTTACGATGGCAAAAATGACTGCATCATCATCACGACAATGACACATTATAAAGTCCATCATGGACGAAATAATTTGATTAACATTGGTCATTTGTCCAATCAGCCCTTGGATTGACCTGTTTCTATTCGGATCGGATTCAGTCGACAGTTATTCATCTGTTAAGTAATGATTATGTTCGATTCACACTATATATATGCTGACTCCATATAAGTTAAATGATGTACGCACTGTCGTCACACCAAAAAAAGCAAGAAACATACAACATTCTCTATCTAGGGTTATTATAAACAGAAGAAAGTGACTTGTTTTTCTGGCTAAGTACCACACTGACAACCAAGTGGTTTTAATGCAAGCCGATTTCTTTCACAGTTATTATAAGCTTTTGTTTTAGGGAGTACGTCAGTGCAGCACTGCAAATAATGACATCTTAGCAAGCTGAAGGTTGTTGAATATAGTCAAATTTAGCCAGAATTTCCTATTATAAGATTACAATAAATCAAATATAAGATTATTAAACCTATTTATAGCCATTTTTTATTCATTTCAAGCTTGAAATATTGGGATCCCTGGAGGACTAGTGGTTAGGCCACAGTGCTCTCACCACCACAGCCTGGGTTCAATTCCCAGCCAGGGAACCAGCCCCATCCACTGGGGTTGCACAGGGCAGTCCAGATAAAATTGGGGAGGATTGCGTTAGGAAGGGCATCCAGCATAAAAACTGTGCCAAATCAAATATGCAGACCACTGATCCACCGTGGCAACTCCTAAAAGAAGCAGCCAAAAGAACAACAACAACGAGCTTGAAATATTGGCAGAGTTTAATAATTTTTTTGCATTTTTAAAATTTTGAAATTGAATCTAGAAATAGGTTTAATAAGCTTATATTTGGTTTACTGTAGACTTAGAACAGGAAATGCTAGCTAAATCTGACTTTATTCAAGATATTTTCACTTGCGAAGATGACATTATTTGCAGTGAAGTCGAGCGTGATCAGTAGTAAGCTACATGGGCACACAGCACATCCCAGTCAAGACCCTTAATCTTCAACTGCTCAGCTGTAGCCCGTTTCAGTTGTAGGTTGCTTTGGATATAAGCATCAGTCAAATAAAAAAAAAGTTAGAAATAGCTAACTTCCTTTCAAAGGTAACGGTTGCTCAAAAACATTTCCCAAAGCATTTGTTGGAATCTTTACTAACTTGTCAGTACAGCTAGGGCTTTTTCTACTGGTAATTTTATAGAGCATAAAATATGATGTAATCTATCCAGACGCATGCAGACAGTGTAGAACATTACTGACATGATGGATTTGGACGGTAAATCCCAGACAATTACATTAATCCACCTTTCCAATTAAAGCAAATCCAAATATGATTGATTTATTCTATTTTGACAAAAATATTTTGACAAAATGATAATAACATTGCAAGAATGCTGTCAAGGCACTAAAAACACCAGTAAAGTAAAACAGATTTTTTTTTTTGTGCTGGTATGAATTTTGAGAGATTAAACTTAGACATGTGAAATAGCACAATGCTTCTATTAATTGCATAAACCTACTATTAGTATTAATAAAGTATTTTGTGTCTTCTTCTTCTTCTAATTATTATTTTTATTATTATTATTATTATTATTTGTTTGCATATGGTCTGACAATTGGTGTGATCCTTTAGGAATAACCAGTCATTTATAAACAGTAGTGCTAGCCTCATTCCTGAGTACCATTAGTTCCAGATTGTACCAACAACCATGGGAAAATACATAGTCTCTGATTACTAGTGCTTCAAGCTGTGGTATTATACTATTTTTGGCCTAAGCAATTCATAGAAATATCTGAAGAGATATCAGCCTTTATAACGTCTTCAGGTACGCAAACCCACACACACATAATGCCCCCAACTGACATGAGCCATTTAGAACTGAATCTTGTTTGCCCTGCAGGGGTGTGATCTGCTACAGAGCATGTCAATGCGAGCATCATCCCCGCTGCGGCTTCAGCCTACGCTCTCAGATCTGCTCCTCCACCGATGCTGGTATCAATGCAAAGGTCATTCGACTTGTACTACCACTATTTATTCCACTCAGATCAAGTTACTACTGAGGCGCTCGCGGTCACACTCACATAAGCAGCTTATTTACACGCAAAAAAGACACACTACTTTCCTCCCTTTTTCATTTCACTAACTCAGTGCAAAACAGGCCAGACACAGCGCTGTATCAAGGCAACCTTTCACCATGCATCTTTTTCTATGTTATGAAAGAGCAAAGGAAGGAAAAAAAGATATTTAAAATGATAAAGAGAGCTGAGTTTGAACAGAAAGGCAAAGCAGTTTAAGGACGCTCCTGGCTCCTTTACCGAGATGCACACGTGATGAGTAGGTCACAGTGCTTTAAAGAAAGCTTTTCTGTACAGGGCGGAAGCAGGAAGCACACAAAGCTTGGACGCTGTATCCTCCCCAGATTTAGTCTGTTGCTTTAATCTCACTCTTCGCTGGCCATGACCCCAATCTGCAGGGGTGAAGGGTTAAACGGGGTCATTTGCTTTTCTAATTACAGATACAGCACATTGCTCTGCCCAGAAGCAGACTTGCCAGGTGTGCCTTAGAAATGTGCGCACACACAAAGATATACACAAAGAGATTTTAAGAGTTTTACCCACATCCTTTTTCACAGAGATGTAGAATTTTTTGTTTCTTTGCCGTTTTGAAAGGCAAACAGTCTGATCAGATTGATTACTCTTTATAGGATGACATCTTTGCTAGCCTGTTTGGAAAAGAAATAAGAAATGAGTCCTCTGATATATAAAAAAGGATTTATCTGACAAATGACTAAACGAGACGTTACCCGCACTACTGCAGAAAAAAGTGGATATAAAATACGCAGGTCAAATTAATTTCCACAATGAGAACTCTGATGAAGTTAGATAATGTAGTTACGTCCTGTATTACTTTCATATCTCTTTAATGGAATACTCCAACATTTCTCAAAATAATCTCTGTCCTCTGTATCTGTACTGTATACGTGATTAACATAAAAAATTATTTCAATAACTTTCCCGGTACCATAGACTTCTGTTATAAATGTATACAGGAAATCTAAAAGGGCAGTCGTTGTGGCAGTCAATAAATATTTACACAAAAAACATTTTTGTAAACAGCTTTCATAAATCAAATTTAAGTAAATTTAAGGCTCCAATCAGACATTGGCTTTTCAGAGACAGGGCTTAATTTGCGGTAGTGCATTACCACGGTAGTCGACATAGTTTATAGTAAACCTGCAGGTCCCGCTGTTTCCGTCTGATCACACATGGACATAACAAAACCTTTGAAAAGTATAAGTACTTTGGACTGTAACCGGACAGTAACCGGAATTGCTTTAGTGTAGCGCCAGTGTTTAACATTTGGATATACAGGAACTTGGATTTGATAAGACTTTCTCTCAAGAATTGGGGTGAAATTGGTTGTGGTTATCAACTTACACGCATAGCTCAAATATTCAACTGTTTATTGAGAGAAAAAACATCTTTAGGCTTCCATTTTAAGTTTCAAGTAATCAGGCTTCTGTTCATTTCTTACTACAGGGAAATGTGTTGACATTGTCTGTGGCTATTATGCATATGCTGCAGATGTAGTCGATAGAGATTAGGTTAAAAAAAAAAAACACTGAAGCATTCCTTTAAAGTATTCTTGTATTTCATAGAAAAAAAACCCAAAAGTTAATTACAAATTGTACATTATAAAGAATGACAAAAAGTTCCTATGTTATGAATGTTTTCAGTTCAGCATTTAGACTATCAAAAGACATTTGTCAGTAGGACAAAAACCTGTGTTTACATGTCAATATTTACCCATCTCTCTCTCTCTCTCCCTCACACACACACACACACACACATACACAGCTCCCATACACTCCTCTCCAATCTCATTATGGGAGCACATATCAAGTGCCCATAGCAAATGAAATGTGGCAGCTCAACTATCTTTTTTCATTTGTCTAATTCATTACCGGAGTCAGGGGATGACTGGTCACTACATCTTGACAATCCTTAGTCCACCTTCATGGCCACAGGCAGGAGGGCGCTAGAGACAAGGCCAGTCTTTTTGGTGAATCTCATGAATGAATGACCGATAGTACCAATCTGTATTTATAAAATAATATAAATAACATTTTCAGTGCACTTATTTCACATGCTTTAGAAATATATGCCTTTATCAGATCCTGACAGTGCCTTCAAAGCCATATCAGACATCCTAAAGGGTTCAGAGCTTAAGAAAAAGAAAAGAAAGCCCTGGGGAAAACCCTGAGTGGCAATAAAAGAACAATCTGAGTCAGCAGGGACAGAATGCTCCCTTCTTGATGCCCCCTCACATCACCGACAGCTCCAAGCTTGCTTGGCTCAGCTCCAAGTGCCCTCAGTGGGCCTATGATGCTCAGAGAGGCGCTTCTCAGCTCCAAGCAGTCCTGTAATACACAGCTAGAGCCTCCTTAATAATCAGAGCAATAAGAAACTAAGATTTAATGAGAAGTAAAAGTCTTCCGCATGCTGAGTGCATCCCTTGGCAGGAGTGTCGTAGCGTTTAGCTTACGTTGACATAAAAGTGCCAGGGCAATCAGGGACACGGAAACATTGTGCCAAGCACACAATGATGTAACTCTCAGGCTAAGGGAGAAGGAGGTCACAGCCCTGCCTTATTGCCTGATCCAAAGCCGGTAGCCATTTTGTCTCTGCTATTTACTGGTTGAGGAGCACTTTATCTGACTGCTGAAGAAAGCACTTTGAAAGTATAGCCCTTAATGCTTTATAAGTGAAACAGGCTCTGGTATAAAACACTACTACATTGTCCGCTGAAGGCCAACAAAAGCACCACTGGCTTTAAGGAAATTTGCTTAACATATTATGAAAATGCATTTCCCAAAAATAGGTTATGCCTATGTCTCTAACTGGGCTTCAAAATCTCGTTCCTCCTAAGGCTTCTTCCTCATGTCATCTCAGGGAGTTTTATTTCTTGCCACTGTTGCCCCTGGCTTGCTCATTAGAGATCTAAATCTAAAAGCTGTAAAGCTGTTTTGTGTATTGTTGAATGTGCTATACAGGTAAATCTGAACTGAATGGAATTAAACTAATACAGTATTTATGCAGAGCAGCAATGCAATGGGTACCAAATGTGTGACATAACTGCCGCAAAGGACTTAATGTTAGCTCATCATTATAATGGATGTCATAACAGTCTTCCGAAACCCTTCATTTGAAATGAGTGACACCACCTGTTGTGTCAATTAATCAAGGGTGAAGAGATCATGGATTTAACATGATTTGTAGCAGGAAGCAGGACTTACACCTTGAGAAATCAGTTTTGACAGCCCTTGAATGTCTGAGAATCCAGAACAAGAGAGAAATATATGATGTAATTTATCCAACTGGGTTACATTTTTTTTTATGCCCTTTAAATGACAGCTTCACCTGATGTTTGCTCGCCCTGCCTTTGATCTATAGATATCACGTGATGTCTTGCCTGACTAGTCCAATTAGCTGCACGTCGTTAATTTTTAATGGAAGTGAACACGGTGAGGTCACACAAAGTCACGGAGGAAACAAGTTCGATTTTTTTAAATGGCATGTGCCCGACGCATATCGCCG